TATCTGAAATGCCTTTATACTATATTTACCAGGGAATGGATGGAGAAGGCTTCTCCTTTAAGTTCTATGGAGAAACTACAGCACATGTATCACATGCCAAGGTGAAAATTTTTAGTCGACTAAATTAACACTGATGTTGGCTCAGGGAAAAGGAAAGGAGTTGCCTGAGCCAGTGAAGGTGGTTCATGGCTTATCTAAAGTATGTAAAGAGGAGAGAGCAGATTAATTCAACACTGGAATTATAACACTGGAAAATCCAATAAAGTAAAGCACCATTGTAAAAAAAACAAAACAAATACAAGACCAAGCAAGGTGGTCTGATGGGCAGAAGGCCACTTAAGGTACAAGTTGGCACTTTCCTCATTATGGCCAGTGTCCTCATAGCAGACCTCAAGCCTCCAAACGTTCCAATTCCAAATACTGACTTTGAGAATTTCCACATCCTGGCTGTACCTGAGGTCTCCTGGGTACCTAACCTTCCCCAACTGGCTGCCCATAGACCAACAGTCAACATTTTGACAAGATAAGGGAAAAACAATGATGGTTATCATTTTCATTTCGTTTTCCTTCGTACTTTGTCCAATAGCCAAGAAATAAAAGTAGAATCTCACGAGATTCTTAATCAGAAGAAATTTTAATAACTGTAATTTATTTATATAAAAAGACAAAATGTGTTTTAAATTAAATCTTAAGAGACATTTAACAAGAATGAAAGCTTTGTATTCTCACAACACAGCAGCCTGTCCTGCGGGACTGCCAGCATTCTATATAAAAATAAACTGTTGGTTGATACAAAGGTCTATACTGAGTGTAATGTGTAGGCACAACGTACAGGTTTTCCTATTAATAAATCCTCAGATCCGTACTTTTTTATTGTTCTATAGTTAGAAGCTTAAACAGAGGGAAAAAAATGAATAATATGAGGAATCAGACAGAGATTTCCTCTTTTACCCTCGTAGGTCTATCAGACCATCCACTGACCATGAATGCACTTTTTGGGCTTTTCCTTCTGATCTATCTGATGACTCTTATCACAAACCTTCTTATATTTTTCTTGGTCCTCACTGACTCCCATCTGCACAACCCAATGTATTTTTTTCTTGCCAACTTGGCATTCCTGGACATGTCCTATTCATCAGTGACCGCACCAAGGATGCTCTATGATTTGGTCACAAAAAGCCGATCAATATCCATTCCTGCCTGTACAGCCCAAGTCTTTTTCTACGTCTCCTTTGCTTGTTCAGAACTTTTGTTGCTCTCGGCTATGTCCTACGACCGCTACATTGCTATCTGCCGCCCCTTACATTACAAACTAATGATGTCTTGGAGGGTCTGTGCTCATATGGCCTCCATGGTCTGGGTTGTAGGATGTTCTGTCTCTTTGGTTTATGCTTTACTTTTGCTCAGGTTGTCCTTCTGCAGAACATCTTCCATCCACAACTTCTTTTGTGACCTTCCACACTTGATTCAAATTACATGTACTGACCCCTTCATAAACATAGTGGTTCTATTCCTAGTAGGTGGTAGTCTTGCAGTAGGAATCATTCTTATGACCTTTCTTCCATATGTCTATATTCTTAGTACCATCCTCAGAATCCAAAACAAGACTGGAAAGAGGAAAGCATTCTCCACCTGCACTTCACATATTACGGTGGTCTTCATCTTTTATGGCTCCTTAATTTTCATTTACTTGGTTCCATCTTCCAGCAATATGGTCATTTTAAACAAAATGTCTTCAGTCATATCTGCCCTCATTAACCCATTGCTGAATCCTCTGATCTACAGCCTGAGGAACAAAGATCTCATGGAGGCGCTTAGGAGGTCTTATTATCACTTAAGGTTGATCCAGGCATCATTCTGAAAATATCATTGTGAAATTTAACATTGTTTTATATTTCTGGGCCATTTATAGTTGACTAAACATTTCAGTAATGTCTTTCATAAAATGTAAACCTGTCAGGCGCTCATATCTGTACTTACACTTGCATGACCAGGGGGTCACTGTAAACCAGGGGCGGACTGACCCCGAGGGCCCGGGGTCAGTAGGGGGCCCCATGAGATGCCCCTGGTACCTTTTTCATAGGCTTTTTTGAGTTTGAGCAAGGACATAGGGGCCCCATGATCCCCTATTGCTCGGGGGCCCCATGAGTTGTCAGTCCGCCCCTTCTGTAACCCCACAGATCAAATGTAGCAGTTTCAGTAGGCTTCGGTTAAATTCCAAGTAACTCTGTGACTATTTTTCTTGCCATCATTTGTTACCTTCTATCTTCTGGTGTGTTCAGAGATATGTATCTGTATTTATGTATGTAAATGTGTCTTGACTGAGTATGTGTATGCATGTACAGTATGTATGTTGCGGGGGGGGGGGGGGGGGGGTATTATTTAATTTTTAATTATATTTTGCTCTTTTTGCACATTTTCACTTTTTTTTTTCTTTATCAAAATGCTTAATACATGCTGGACAAGTCAATTATTACAATACATTGCATTATATTTATGGTGCCACATACACTGAAAGGAAGTCTGTAAAAGACAATATTCAATATTTCTGGTCCCTAAAAATGCTTCAAATCCAAACATATATATTGAAGCAAATGAAAGACACTGGGGCCCCAGGTCCTTACACCTACTAGCCAATCAGAAGCAGGAGGAGGATTTACCTCTTACCTTGAGGAAGATGCTGCAGACAGGCCACCAAGTTGGCTAAATGTAGACAAATGTTTGTCTTATCTCTGCATACAATTATCCTTTGGGTTTGGATTGAAGTAGAATTCGGTTCATACTTTGCCTCTTTGGTGAACAGATGAAGTAAACGAGGGGTTCCCCTCCATCTGCAGCATGAAGTGATACATTCAGCAACCGTGTTACTATTTACTGCTGAATGTGACAGCTTCCTGCTCAGGCTGGTTGTTAGGAAGCCAGCGGCTGGCGACTTCCTAGTGACCAGTCGTGCATCCCCACCAAGCCCATTCATCTGTCAGGGAGGATTCCAGCTGACTGATGAATGTAAACAAAGGTAGGTGATGTGTGGCAGAAGGTTCTCATGTTGGCCTTGAAATGCCAGGATAGTAGAAGAACCCCCCCAACCCAAAATGACCCCTTTTTGGAAAGTAAACACTCCAAGATATTTGCTAAGAGGCATGGTGAGTATTTTGCAGATCTCATTTGTTGCTGCAGGTTTTTGGAAAATGAGGAAAGAAAACAAAAATGTGTTTTCGTTTATTCTTTTCCAAACCCCTGGGACAAAAATTATATCTGCAAAATGCTCCCCATGCCTCTTATTAAATTCCTTGGGGTGTCTACTTTCCAAAAAGGGGTCATTTGGGGGGAGGGGGGTTGTACAATCCTGGCATTTCAGGGCCTTCAAAACTGTGAAAGGTAGTAAGGAAAAAGTAAGCAAAAAGTCTCTCGCATATGGTATCCCCAAATTCGGTTGAAGTGGCAGAATGTGTTTTGGGGTGTTATTCGGCATATACACATGGCGTGTGTGAGCAATATGTCATTTAAGTGACATCTTTGTGTAGAAAAAATAAATAAATTAAAAAATTTGTTGCAAAAAATAAAATATTCCATGGACTCAACATGCCTCTCAGCAAATTCCTCGGGGTGTCTGCTTTCCAAAAAAGGGACATTTGGGGGGGGGTTGTACTATCTTGGCAATTTAGGGACTCCAAAACTTTAAAAGGTAGTGAGGAAGTGACATGTGGAAATACAGTATGCAGTTTTGGTGGTCATTGGATTTTGAGGGCCTGTATGTGCAGAGGCTGCCAAAAAGTCTCTCACATGTGGTATCCCCAAACTCAGTAGAAGTGGCAGAATGTGTTTTGGGGTGTTATTCCACATATACCCATGGCGTGTGTGAGCAATATACCATTTAAATGACTACTTTATGTAGAAACAAATAAATGAATAATTTTTTCTCTCACTTTGCAAAAATTTGTTGCAAAATATGAAATATTTCATGGACTCAACATGCCTCTCAGAAAATTCCTTGGAGTGTCTACTTTCCAAAAAGGGATCATTGGGGGATTTTGTACTGGCCTGGAATTTTAGGACCTCCGAAACTGTGATAGGCAGTAAGAAAGTAAAAGATGTGTTAATTATTATTTTACAGGATTTATATGGCACCAACAGTTTGCACAGTGCTTTACAAAATGAAGGCAGACATTACAGTTACAATACAATTTGATACAAGAGGAAACAGAGGGCCTGGCTCGTTAGCGCTTACAATCTAGGAGGAGGAGTTGAGTGATACAAAAGGTAATAGCTGTGGGGGGAGGAGCTGATGGAGGAAATAAATGGCAGTTTACTAAGTAGAAGCAGGATATACTTCTTTAAAGAGAAAGGTTTTCAGGGATCGTCTAAAGGTGGATAGATTAGGAGACAGCCAGACAGATTGGGGTAGGGAGTTCCATAGGATGGGAGATGCTCAGGAGAGGTCCTGAAGGCGAGCATGGGAGGAGGTGACATGGGAACTAGAGAGCAGAAGGTCTTTGGAGGATCAAAGAGAGCGGTTTGGTTGATATTTTGAGACCAGGTCGGTGATGTAGCTGAGGGCAGAGTTGTGGATGGCTTTGTAAGTTGTTGTTAGTATTTTGAATTTTATTCATTGGGTGAGTTGAAGCCAGTGGCGGGATTGGCAGAGAGGGATGGAGGACACTGAATGGAAGCCAGTGGAGGGATTGGCAGAGAGGGGTGAAGAACACCGAGAGGAGGCCAGTGGAGGGATTGGCAGAGAGGGGTGAAGAACACCGAGAGGAGGCCAGTGGAGGGATTGGCAGAGTGGGGTGGAGGACACTGAATGGAAGCCAGTGAAGGGATTGGCAGAAAGGGGTGGAGGACACTGAGTGGAGGCCAGTGGAGGGATTGGCAGAGAGGGGTGGAGGACACTGAATGGAAGGCCAGTGGAGGGATTGGCAGAGAGGGGTGGAGGACACTGAATGGAAGCCAGTGGAGGGATTGGCAGAGAGGGGTGAAGAACACCGAGAGGAGGCCAGTGGAGGGATTGGCAGAGAGAGATGGAGGACACTGAATGGAAGCCAGTGAAGGGATTGGCAGAAAGGGGTGGAGGGCACTGAGTGGAGGCCAGTGGAGGGATTGGCAGAGGTGCGTGAAGGACACTGAGTGGAAGTCAGTGGTGGGATTGGTAGAGAGGGGTAGCAGACACTGAACGGTTGGTAAGGTGGATAAGCCTGGCAGCAGTATTCATAATGGACTGGAGGGGGAGTGGCCTATGTAAAGGTAAGCCAATGAGGAGGGAGTTGAGGCGATAGATAACCAGAGAGTGAGTTAGGAGCTTTATGGTATCTTTGGTTAAAAAGGGGCATATTCTGGAGATGTTGCTGAGGTTGAGGCGGCATGATTTGGACAGGGATTGGATGTGGGTCTGAAAGGATAGTTCAGAATCCAGGGTTACTCTTTGCACCCAGGGATGGGTTGATAGTGGTGCTATTGATCCTGACCGAGGAATCAGGGGAAGAGGCACGTAGGGGAGGTAATATTATGAGCTCAGTTTTGGATAGATTGAGTTTTAGGAAGTGATGTGACATCCAGTCTGATATGTCTGTTAGTAAATCAGTGATACGGGAGCAAACTGATGGGGTGAGCTGAGGAGTAGAGAGATAGATTTGTGTGTCATCAGCATAGAAATGGGATTGGAAACCATGGGAAGCTATCAGCTGACCCAAGGAAGAAGTGTAGAATAGGAGAGGTCCAAGGACAGAACCTTGGGGGACCCCGACAGTAAGACGAGTAGGAGAGGAGGAAGTAGAGTTGTAAGTGACACTGAAGGGGCAGTTAGATAGGTAAGATTAAAACCAACGCAGAGTGCGGTCATGGAGACCAAGTGAATAGAGATTTTTGAGGAGGAGGGGGTGGTCAACTGTGTCAAAGGCAGTGGAGAGGTCCAAGAGTAAGAGTACAGAATAGTGACCATTGGTTTTAGTGGTTAGGAAGTCGTTTGCGAGTTTTAGGAGAACAGTTTCTGTGCAGTGTTGTGGGTGAAATCCAGACTGAAGGGGATCGAGAAGGTTATTCACAATAAGGTGGCAGCTCAGCCGGTTGTAGATCAGACAATCAAGGAGTTTGGGGAGGCAAAAGGGAGTAAGGAGATGGGTCTTAGTTTGTTAAGATTGGTGGGCCCAGTCCAGTCTTTTTAAGTATGGGGGTGACTAGAGCATGTTTTAGAGAGTTGGGGAAGATGCCATTAGAAAGGGAGAGATTGAAGATATGAGTTAAAGAATGAAAGATGGAGCCAGAGGGTGATCGCAGTATTTGAGGGAGTCAGGGTCCAGGGGGCAGGTGGTTAGGTGGGCTTTAGAAAAAAGTTTACCAACCTCCTCTATAAATTCCAGTATATATCCCATAATCTGTAGACGCTGTAACTTTCACACAAACCAATTAATATACACTTATTGGAATTTTTTTTACCAAAGACATTTAGCAGAATACATTTTGGCCTAAGTGTATGACTACATTTGAGTTTATTGGATATTTTTTAGAATGTAGAAAATAGTGTTTTTTTCAACATTTGTGGTCTTTTTTTGGAGGCACTTCCGCCAGTATACTTTTTAGGCATGTTTATTTGCACAAAACACACCCACAGGCATGTTGCCTATCATATTTTTTCAGGTGCTAAAATTCCAGGGCAGTAAAAGAGAAAAAAAAAACACAAATGACCCATTTTTGGAAAGTAGACTCCTCAAGGAATTTGCCCCAGGCATGTTGAGTCCATGGAAGGTTTTATTTTTTGCCACACATATTTGGAAAATGACAAAAACGTTTGTTTTTTTTTAACACAAAGCTATCACTTAAATGATATATTGCTCACATATTTCATGGGAATATGTGGAATAACACCCCAAAACGCATTCTGGTTCAAACTGGACCAATGTAGTTTTGCTAAAAATATACAGTATCATGCCGATTCTTCTGACTGTGGCTTGTGTCTTCACATTTAGGGCTGCTGGTGTGGCCTTCAAACTGTGCCTCCACTGGCCAATTTTTCCCCTCCATACCTAAGACCTGCAGTTCTAATTATTTTTATAAATATGACTTGAGTCTCCACTTTAAAGCTTGTTGGTGCTGCTCTCAAAAATAGTGACATTTTGTAGCCATTCAAACCTAAGGGATGAAGCGTTAATGATTTTTTAGGAAGACAGCCACCTGTGTCTTCTGTTTCTGTATTTTGACCAGTTTGGCTACCAAACTGGGGTGACCCTGGACAGTTGTACCCAACCAAAGCTAAGGGTTCTAGCTCTTTACTGACTATCCACTGTGCAATCCAACCAAGTTTTAAAATGGCAACCCTTATAAAATGTAACTATAAAATGATGGAAGCTAAAAGAAAAGCCGTGTTCCTTTTGTAGTGTGTTAGGTCCCTCTGTCCACTAACCAAGAAGTAATAGAGGTGATAAAACTATAAAAAAAAAGACTTACAGTGGATTTTAAATTCAAATGTTGAAGATTGTACTCAGTTATAGAAAAGGGGCTCTCAAGGGGTTATAAATTACATCTTAAGAGACCTTTAATGCGGCTTTCAGCTTTGTGTTCCTACAACACAACAGACTGTCCTGAGGGAATGCCGACAATTTTATATAAGAATAAGTCATCAGCTGGCACAAATGTCTCCAGGTGAACCTGAGTATCATGTGCAGGCACAACATATATGTATTCCTATTGATAAATCCTCAGACTGATCATTTGATGACTGCTTTATGCTGATAAATTTAAACAACAAAGATTAATACAAGGAATCTGCCAGAGATTACCTCTTGTGGGTCCATCAGACCATCCACTGACCACGAATGCACTTTGTGTGCTCTTCCATCTGATCTCTCTGATAACTGCGGGACTGCCAACATCTTATATAAGAATACATCATTAGCTGCCAGAAATGTCGGCATGTAACCCTGAGTGTAATGTGTAGGCACTCCGTACAGGTTTGTCCTATTAATAAATCCTCAGATCCATAATTTTATTACCGTTCTATAGTGATACATAAAACAGAGAGAAAGAAAAAATGAATAATATGAGGAATCAGACAGAGATTACGTCTCTTACCCTCGTAGGTCTATCAGACCATCCACTGACCATGAATGCACTTTTTGGGCTTTTCCTTCTGATCTATCTGATGACTCTTATCACAAACCTTCTTATATTTTTCTTGGTCCTCACTGACTCCCATCTGCACAACCCAATGTATTTTTTTCTTGCCAACTTGGCATTTCTGGACATGTTCTATTCATCAGTGACCGCACCAAGGATGCTCTATGACTTGGTCACAAAAAGCCGATCAATATCCTTTCCTGCCTGTATAGCCCAAGTCTTTTTCTATATCACCTTTGCTTGTTCAGAACTTTTGTTGCTCTCGGCTATGTCCTACGACCGCTACATTGCCATCTGCCACCCCCTACATTACAAACTAATGATGTCTTGGAGGGTCTGTGCTCGTATGGCCTCCATGGTCTGGGTTGCAGGATGTTCTTTCTCTTTTCTCCATACTTTACTTTTGCTCAGGTTGTCCTTCTATGGACCAGCTTCCATCCACAACTTCTATTGTGACCTTCCACATGTGATTCAAATTACATGTACTGACCCCTTCATAAACATGGTGGTCATATTCATAACAGGCTCTATTCTTGGATTAGGAGTCGTTCTTATGACCTTTTTCTTCCATATGTCTATATTCTTAGTACCATCCTCAGAATCCGTAGCAAGACTGGAAAGAGGAAAGCATTCTCCACCTGCACCTCACACCTCACCGTGGTCTCCATCTTTTATGCAGCTTTAGCTTTTATTTACTTGGTTCCATCTTCCAGCAATATGGTCATTTTAAACAAACTTTTTATCATCATAACTGCCCTCATTAACCCATTGCTGAATCCTCTGATCTACAGCCTGAGGAACAAAGATCTCAAGGAGGCACTTGTGAGGTCTTATTATGACTTGAAGTTGATCCAGGCGTCATTTTGAAATTTGACACTTTTTGTATTCCTGGAACATTTTTAGTCGAATAAAATTTTTTTATTAATGTCTTTCATAAAAATGTAAACCTGTCGGGGGATCATTGTTGTACTCACCCTTGCATGACCAGTTGTTCCTTGTAACCCCCACAGACCAAATGTAGAAGTTTCTGTATGCTTTGGTTCACTTCAGAGTAACTCTGTGTCTATTTTTCTTACCATACCATACCATACCATAATTTTTTACATAGATCTTTATGCATTTATAAGACCTTTAAGTGGCACAACGTTTTCATAAATACCCAGATCAGAATTTTTTTAAAGATGGACAACACAGTGAAAAAAAAAATTAGTTGTTTTAGTTCACATAACGAGCAACATATTGTACATCATTCATACAATTTTGAAAAGTGCCACCAAATTGTTTTCTCCTTTTCACCTTCCCAAGTACAGGGACCCCATGTCCCGGGTTTGACATAGTATACAGTATATCAGTGCTGTATGGTTGGTAAGCAAGTGATCAATATATTATATTCAATGGGTTGATGGGC